AATTTAATAAAAAAAAAAAAATATTTTATACATTTTATATATCAGCGAAAGATATAAAATATATATACTGTAGACAATAAGTAAAATATATTTTATCATATAAAATGATTCATAGAAGGAAAAATCATGAATATGAAATATAACATGATGAATCAACTGTACAACAACATAGCGTAGAATTATTGGAGTTGTCTTGGAGTTGCTACTCAAGTTGGCAGCACGCTTCTTAGTATACTCAAATTGGCAGTCCATGAGAGTGAGTCAAATATAACTGCTGCCGAATGTGATGTCGGGTGTTGCTGAGAGAGACTGAGATGGCATGTAGGCCTCATGTCGAAAATCAGTGTATGTGTGTGTTGTCTGTCGAAGAAGAAGCTGCCAGAAGCAGCTATTTTGTGGTGATATTAACTGAATTGTAGAACAGCTACACATCAGTCGCTCTTAATAGAGCATATTTATACATTGGAATAAATATGGAAAGTGAACATCGTGAGCATTCCATATATTTGCTTACTCTACATAGACTACGAAATTCCAGCCGTTGACATTTTCATAAAGCCCCAACAAATATCAATACTCAGTTGTGCCAAAAGTTGAATTTAAATTTATATTTCTGGCTCGCAGCGTGAATTCCTGAATTCCTGAGCACAGTTTCACTGCCAGAGGCAATATGAGCAGCACAAAAAATGATTATGCAACGCGTTTTGTTTGTTCCTTAGCTTGTGCAGCTTTAATGAACATTAAAGCGTCAATAAATGACAATGTTCCACTGACAGCGGACAGGACATCGCACAGGATTCCCATTACGGATGCTGGTTAGTTGGCAAAATAACAAAAACTTTTAGCCAGACGATTCGGGTCACATTTGAGAAGAACCCAAAAAAAAAAAAAAAAGAAAACTCACCATGCGTTTTCATATTTTATGACAACATACAAAAAAGAAACTGATGTGCCAATATCTCTCTATATGCATATATAGATTTATATATATATATACACATATATGTATATAGTTAACGCTTTTGGCCAACTCACCTGGAGCAGCAGCCGTTCATCGGCCCAAATGGCGGCCTGTTTCCAATCGATTTTCGATTCAAATGGCAATACCCAGGCATTGGACAATAGCACCGGGATGCAGCCCGCCTGCAACGCTTCGAGAAATCTACGAAAAAAAAAAAAAACAAATGATATAAAAAACACAATTTATATATACATATACATATGTGTGCAAGACAGAGAGAGAGAGAGAGTGAGATGCAGAGCGAGGGACACAGATTAAAATGAAATGGGCATGAACTGCGAAATGAAAATTGTTTTTCATTTTGTTTTCCTCCCGCTTGTCTCACCTGAAGGAGCCCAGGCGTCGTCCCCGTGGCACCAAGCAAAACGTCGAATTCTGGAGCAGCGTCCCATAGTCGTATCTGAAATGAACAAGGCGAGAAAAAGGTCAGTAAGGAATGGAATGAGAAAAGCGAGAGAGGGAGAGACAGAGAGCGGGCGAATACGGGCCGAAGACAAGTGGAAGAAGAGTGAGGATGTAAATTAGTGCGAGTCCAGGAGTTGTACATATAATACCATTGTGCAGCAATTAATTGAACAATGAGCTTGTCGCTTTTGTGTGGCACGTTAAATGGATGGTAAGCGAATGGGGGCAGCTGTTGAGGAGCTGCATTCATTTAAATAGTCAAGTGAGCATGCAGAATGCTTCTTGAAACCAAAGAGAGGCGGGTGGCCAGGAATATGCAAATATTCACGAAAGACCAGACGCTGAATACCCTTCAAAAGGGTTTTTCTTTTAATTTTATTTCACTACATTTTTTTAAAATAAAAATAATTACTAAAT